CACTTCTCTCTCTCTCTCTCTCTCTCTCTCTCTCTCTCACACACACACACACACGCACACACACACACACATACACACACACACACACACACACACACGCACACACACGCACACACACTATTCTTACCGTGAGGAAGTGAGTCCAACTTGAGTGTCCTCTCTTTGGTAAGGAGTCGCTTGCGCTTTATCTTGAGAGACGACATTCTTCCCGGTGGCGCATCTGGCAGGAGAGGGCAGTGCCTCTGAAGGGCCCTAGTCAAAGCACGGGTCCCGGTCACCATGCCAACCCATGGGAGTAGTACACGCAGGCCATGCTGCTTTGTTCATTAAGGTTTTTTGCTGCGCTGATAGAAGGTGTGTGTGGACTGACCAGTCCTAACACAGACGCTCCCATACCGTCTATAAATATTTCTGGTTGGGGTCAGAACTGACCACTGGTTGTGATCATCGTCCGGATTGCGATGTTAAATAATTCCTGAGGACTTTTGGGGGCTGTCCTTAAATTATCTCTTGATCAACCATATCAGTCAGACGTAAGGCTCGTTGCACGCGAGGATAAACAAACTGCAGGCTGGTCATAAGCATACATCTTGGGTACAGGGGTGGGCCGTGATTGCACACCGTAGACACCGCAGTTTGATGATGCTCACAGGTACGTTGGATACGGGGGAAGAGGATTCCAATTGAGAACTCAACTGTACAACACTATCATATCCATTGTGCATACATCTGCTTACATTAGTTTATTTTTATTTTTGATTAGTTGGTTGACAGACTGCTAACACCTAACAGACAGCCTAGAGTAGGACTGTAATCTACCATAGTTAATTCTTCTTAAAACTTATGTGCAAAATTGATCAGGATAAGATAGGCTATGTGTACAGTCTAGGAGAGTGTTGTTGATACCGCTTGAATAGTAGCCCAGGTGACTCGTTGGATACTTGTTTATTTATTTATTTTTAGCACCAGTCGGACGTATGCTGCGTCAGGTCCCATAAATGACTCTAGTGGAGACAGCGTCTGCATAACCGATGAGTGGATCAACCGGAGATGAACGGATAGCTGACGATAGGAGGTTAACAAGGATATCATCGCTTAGGATCCCTCGAGTGTTCCAGGTCCTACAATCGAGAGAAGAGAGAAGACTAGGAGTCGAAGCTAGGGCTCGTAGTCTTTTGACTGCAAGGGCAGCAGCAACAACTGAAGCTAGTACGGTGGCGATGGCTACCGCTTCACTATCTTTGGCAACAACCTCTGGTCCGGGCATGCCATCCAGTTCGATCAGTTCGCAGTCAGTCTCCACTACGCCAGGAGCTGACACTAGTCAGATGGCGGGCTCGTAGTTCAACTCGCCGCCTCCAAACATTCGGGAGCATATGGAACTCCAACAAGTAGATAGGATTCGTTTGAGGTTAGAGAAGGAACTTAAACAGGCTACTAAAAGAGAAGGAGAGAAAAAAAAGTCCCAGACTAGAGGGTAGGGCGGCAAACTTAGCTGCATTAGAAGGTTTGGATGACGCAACCCTAAACACTACAGGGAACGTTCTCAAGGCAAGCATCCTATCCATGCATGCGTACATAGATAGCAAAATCGACGCCATGCAAGACACCCTGGACCAGATCCTGCAAGCGCTACATAGGCCTGGGATCCGACCAACAACTTTGCCATCGCTGTGATTCTCAGCGATGACAGACCCCTATGCCGCTCAGTCTGATCAGCAACCAAGCGGTACATCAACAACAACTCTATCTCATACTGTTCCTTCTTCATGTTCTGGTCGAGCAGCTAGAGCTACACCACAGCTGCCGCCTATCTCACCAGTGGGACAACAGGAACCTTGGTACCCCAAGACCCCACTTAAACCACCTCCAACCTTCTCACGGGATAAGAAGGACGAGGCACTTGACACTTGGTTGAGAACGGTTCCAGTATGAGTTAGGGTGAAGAGGATGCTGGTAGAGGAGGAGGTGATTACTGCTGTATCCTACTTAGAGGGTTCAACAACTCGCTGGTTAAATGGATTATAGCTTCCAAAGGGTTCGACAGAAACATGGGTGATTGGGCCAAGACCCATACCATTGAAAGTTTTTTGGATTTAGTGGAGGCTCGATGGCACAACCCTCAGCAGGCACATATTGCCACTGATGGGTTACTGAAGCTTGACTCTAGGAAGTACAAGTCTGTGAGAGAGCTTACCATCACCGTAGAGCGGTTGATTGTCGTCCCAGGAGTGGAGTATAATCCACAGGTCTTGTTGACCATGTTCTTGAGATGTTTTCCCACAAACATCAAGAACCTCGTAGCCAACGAGGCTTGTCTTGAGTATCACACCTTTGAAACATTCAGTAAGAAGGCCCTAGACTTAGAGGCTACGTTGGGTGGTGCTCAAACCCCCTTTACGGATGAAAGAAAGAAAAAGACTCCACAAGAGTGGAAGAAAAAGGGTAGTCGATTGATGATGGTTGATTCCGATGGGAATCAAACAGAAATCGATGATGTTTTTGAACTTGTGGAGGGATCAGAGTTAGACGGCGAGGACAGTGCTGAGGGTAGCAACCTCGCAGCCGTAGTACGGACTAAGGCAAGTGACTGCGGCAAGGGCGATCAACAAAGGAGTCAGGGGCAAGCCGCCAACCTGAACAAATAGTTGTTTGGGTTAGGGCCGGTTTGGATCAAGATGTGTGGCGGGACCGTTGGGAGTGTGGAACTTGCATAAACTGCGGCGAGTATGACCACCAGCGGTTCAAGTGCAAGAACGCGAAGGTCACGTAGAAAATCCCTCCTAAGGGTGAGTTTTCTTATTCTCAATTTGGGGCCTCTACGAGCTCCAGCTCGGGAAACACTTATGGCCAGTGGAAGTTGTAACTGCTTCCACTCTCGTTGATTTGGGTGATGTACCCTCCCCGTTTCAAGTGTTGGTCGAGACCATTGACTCCTTAGTCACCCCGCAGACGCATCCTAACCCAACTATACTCTGTACGTTGGATGTGTCTGAAGCCTTAGAGGACCTTCAAGATGAGTGGTCGGCAAGGGACCCTCGTGATTCCTCGGTGACACTAAGTAGAGGTCCTAGAGGGGAGCACTTCGTAGTGAAAGTTGGTGTGGGTGGTCGCAAGTGTGATGCTTTCGTAGACAT